CGGAAAAACCATCCAAGAAGCAATAAAATTCATGACCCGCCACTCTTTCTAGCATCTCGTCCATGAACGGTAGGGGGAAATGGTCCTTTCTTGTGCCGGCATTCAACTTTCGGTAGTCAATGCACATCCTCCACCCGGTAACCATTCTAGTAGGAATTAATTCATTCTTACTATTGGTTATAACGGTGATTCCTCCCTTCTTCGGGACTACTTGCACGGGACTCACAAAGTTGCTATCGGATATGGGATAGATAATACCATAGTCAAGAAGTTTGAGAACTTCCTCCTTGACTACCTCCTTCATATTTGGGTTGAGCCTCCTTTGATGTTCCACCGTTGGTTTGTGGTTTTCCTCCATGAGGATCCGATGCATGCATAGAGTTGGTCTTATACCCTTGATATCCGCCAAGGACCAAGCTATTGATGATGTGTGAGCTCTCAATACCCGGAGTAATTATTTCTCTTCTTGTAAAGGAGAAAGAGTAGAGGAAATTACCACGGGGTATGTAGAATTATCGCCAAGGAATGCATATTTGAGATGTACCGGTAGAGGTTTGAGAGTGGGCTTTGGAGGAGTTTGACTTGATGGTTTGAGAATAGACTTCCTTTGCCCAAGGTCTTCAAATCTTTGCCAGTAAGGTCTATGAACGACTTCTCCCTGTAAGAACATCATTTGTTGGAAAATTTCAGAATTTTCTTCTTCTTCGGTGTGCCCAAATGTGAGACATGCTTCAAGAGGGTCTTTTTGAAGTTCTTTTTCAAACATCTCCCGAGTTATAGTATCAATGATGCCAATACTAAAACACGTGGATATATCATGATGTTTCTTCAATGAATCCCACACATGGAATTCTTGTTCATCTTCTCCTACTCGGAATTTGATAACTCCGTTCTTCACATCAATGAGGGCGGCGGCGGTGGCTAAAAATGATCTTCCAAGAATTATAGGAATTTCCATTTCTTCCATTTCCAAAATGAGAAAATCTACCGGAAAATAGTATTTTCCCACCTTGACTAGAACATCCTCCATGACTCCCAATGGATAGCGGATTGTTCTATCCGCCAATTGAAGAGCAACCGTTGTAGATTGAAGTTCCCCCACACCAAGCTTTTTAAAGAGGGAATGTGGCATAAGATTTATACTAGCTCCGAGATCACAAAGAGATTTTACCTCTCCAATTTTTCCAATAGAGCATGGGACGGTGAAGCTTCCGGGATCCTTCAACTTTGGGGGGAGTTTATTTTGAAGGATTGCACTACACTCCTCCGTGAGTGCTACGGTTGCAAAGTCCGCTAGTTTCTTCTTGTTTGAGAGAATCCCCTTTAGAAATTTGGCATAAGAAGGGATTTCCGCAATAGCCTCCACGAATGGTATGTTGATGCTTAACTTTGTAAAAATATCAAGAAATTTCTTGTATTGTTTACCATCATCCTTCTTCTTTAACCTTTGTGGATATGGGATAGGGGGAACATAATTTGTCATAGTAGGAAGTGGCGATATATGTTCCTCCAATTCCTCCTCGTCTTGTGCCGTTGGTGTCTTCTCCGGAGCTTTAGGGTCCTCCGTTTGTTTTCCACTCCGTGTTGTTATGGCCATGACGTTTTCCCTTGGATTGACTTCGGTTATTGTGGGAAATCTCCCTTGTTCTCGAGTGCTTTTTCCTTGGGCAATTTGCCCAATTTGTACTTCCAAGTTGTGGATAGATGACTTGGTGTATTGTTCTATGTTGTCCATGCGTTGGTGAAGTTTCCTGTTTTGATCTTCAAACCGGAGGTCAAGCTTGGTGAATTGTGAGTGGAGATTCCCAATGGATGCCTCCACTCTACTATGATTCTCCTCATTTTGGGCTTTTACACTAGCCACAACATTTTGAGTGAGAGTCTTCATCATCTCCTCCATTGTTTGCTCTTTTTGCCCATGTGTAAACCCGAATGAGGGGTAAGAAGGACCTCCTTGTGGTTTACCTTGGTTAAACCTTTGTTGATTGTTGGAATAGTTGTTGCCTCCTTGGTACCCCCTATTCCCGTAAGAGTTCATATAATTCACATCTTCAAGAGTTTGAGGTGAATTACCTTCCGGTTGTGCAATATTCTCCACACTTGCTACTTGACTAGCTCCTCCAATTACGGCTTGAAGAGCTGTATGAATAGAGGCTTGAAGATCTTTGCGCATAGCTTGTTGAAAATCAGCAAACCGCTTGTCCAATTCATGAGCTATGGACACCTCACTCACACCGGCTAATTTGACATCTCCTCCTTGTAGTTGAGGATTGGAAGCAATGGATTCAAGGATTCTCAAAGCCTCCGTTTCAGTTTTGTTACCAATATAGCCCTCCGCACGGTTATCTACAATGGGCCAAATGGCTTGACATGAAGAGTTCAAACCATTGTAGAATGTATCAATTTGAAGATCAAGAGGAATGCGGTGATGAGGGCATTCCTTCAACAAGACTTTGAAACGCCTCCATGCGTCTTGGAATAGTTCTCCAACTTGTTGTTTGAAGTTGAAGATTCGTTGCCTTAGCTCTTGAGTCATCGTGGGTGTATAGTACTTGGAAATGAAAGCATTATAGATACCTTCCCACGTTGTGAAAGTTGTCGGTGTTTGCTCCAAGAACCACATCCTTACCGCCCTTTTCAAAGTATAGGGAAAACTTTTGAGTTTAAGATCATCCTCGGTGAGACCATGCCTCGGGATTCCTTGAATGAATCCATAGAACTCGGTGATGAAGTTAAGTGGATTCTCCCCCGGAAGACCATGAAATTGAGGCATAGCATTGAAGTAGCTATTTTTCATTTCATAGTCCCGAGCCGCCTCGCTTAGGACAATGCATGAGGGAGTGGCGGCAACCACGGGCCTCTTCCTTTCATTGAGTGTTGGCATCATCTTCGCCTTTCTTTCCTTCCGGTTGTGTTTGAAAGTTCTTTCTATTTCAAGATCAAGAGGTTCAAGATGTTTAGAACCTTGACTTCTCAAATGCATTCAAACACAAAGGATAGTCTACACACATGAAATGAAAAGTACCCAAGAACAAGTGAAAAGCAATGGGAAATAAAAATTTCAGGATTTTGTTTGGTTGTTTTAACTCTATAATAACGAGCCGTATTTCCCCGGCAATGGCGCCAAAAACTTGATCGGGCTGAACTTGCAAGTATACAAGTGCCGATGTAGTAATAAAATACCGGTAAATACCGGGTCGATCCACAGGGAAATGGTTGATATTATAAAGTCGAGTATTGAATGCAAAGAATGTAAATGATATATTTTTTTTCAGGAACTTTGCTCTTTGAGATTGGTTTAAACAAGAATGAGAATTACTAAGGCAATCGGGATTCACCTAAATGCTTTAATAGTTATTTGATAATAGTTCTTCCCCAATAATTATGAATACGATGTCGCTAATATATTCTCAACTCCGGTTAAGGCAGCGAGAGCGTGGTTTTCGTTACGTGTAAGTCCCGTTACGGCTTACATTCATCTACCGAAAACCCCGTTGAATATCAAGACTTCACACCCGTATCATATAAGACCGGATATATTTCTATTCTCGGCACTATATATTTTTATCCTTTAATGTTCATAGTTTAGACTTCAACGTTAATTGCAAGCATAAACTAAATTTAACATACTTCTATGTTGTACACCATAGTCATAAACAATCAAAATATAAAGGATAAATCACAATTTATTGGTTCATAACTTTTATCAAACACCTAGTATGCATAGAGGTTCATCCCTAGCCTTAGCTTAGAAATTAGCCTCTAATGCTCATATTAATCACAATACAATATGAAATGTAATGTAACATGAAATTACAAAGGAAATAATACCTAAACACCAATGATTTCGGAGGTTGAAGTTTCCTCCTCAATAACTTGAAGAAAATTCCAAGAACAAAAATATAAAAGCTAGGAATTAATCTATGGAATGGAATGTTATTGCTTGATGAATTAAGGGCTTTATATAGGCTAAAGAAGGGCATCTTTTAGTCTATTCAAGCCTAACAATCGGGTATGGAAGCAATATTTGATCAGATATGGAGGAAGATGGGTTTTTCCCATCAGAAATCTTCTGCACGTCGGACTGTTTTAGCAGAAAATCGGAACAACCGGCGCCGGTTATAGCATGTCCGGCGCCGGTTGGGTGCAAAAATGCACCGGTTGTGCTGCGCCGGTTGGAAACAGGCCCGAATTGGGCAAAAAGTCCCGACGACCGGCGCCGGTTATAGGGCATCCGGCGCCGGTTCCTGCGCCCAAATTTGTACTTTGCTTTTTTTCTTCGTTTGATGCCCGAAATTGATCCAGATGTGCCAGTTTTCGATCCCTTTTGACTTTTGACCCTATTTTCATTGCTCCATGTCGTATTTCATGTTTCCGCTAACTCGAGAATATTTATCTGTTTTCGCTTCACATTTTTGTACAGATAAATGCAATTACTTATGTAAAACATAAGTAATTATTGTGCTTATCAGTGTTTTATATCACTTGTGTATTCAGGCAATTGATAGTTTTTTAGAACTGTTTGTGCTTACAGGTAAATTATGCACACCTCCCATTACTTGCATACACAGACAATTGATTTAACAATCGCTAGAGGTACCCCATTTTGGGATACCCCATTTTGAAGTACCCCATTCTTACACCACACATTGTGTGGTCCAAATGAGGCCACACTTAAAAGTGTTGCCCCACTTAAAAGTGTTGCTCCAATTGTAGCCACAAAATAGTGGTATAAGAATGAGGTACCTTTATCATTTTTGTTGATTTAAAAATCAATAAATTGTTCATGTATACAAACAATGTACAACTTGTTTATATACTTGTATTTTTTTCTAAGGGGTTTTTAAATCATTGTTTTACGGTTGAATTTTAATAGCCGACATTTGAGACGATTATTCTTCTAAGTCAAGGTCAATTGACTTAAAATTTACTGGAAGGGGTAATCATAATTATCCACGATAAAATGCAATGTTGTGTGCATTATTATCCGTACTGTGAAATAATAGGAAAAGGGTACTCCAATAGGAGTCCTGGCAGGTATATTTATATTAAATAAGAGTTACCAAAAAACACAAGGATTCCTAATTTATATTAACTATTACACCCCCTCAAGCTGTGCGGGAGATACAACGCGCAGGTTGTCTTTCAAGAAATTAAATTGCTGACTAGATAAAGCTTTAGTAAATATATCCGCAAGTTGCAAGTGTGTGGGAACATACTTCACCAAAAGATCACCATGAGCAACTCGTTCACGAACAAAATGATAATCAATCTGAATATGCTTGCTGCGAGCATGCTGAACAGGATTAGCAGTCAAATAGGAAGCTGAGATATTGTCACAAAATAAATGCACAGGGTCACGGATAGAGTAACCGAGCTCAAATAGGACCGAACGTATGTGAAGGGTGTCCTGTACTGTGTATGCTATGGCTCGGTATTCGGCCTCTGTAGAAGACTTGGACACCGTAGGTTGCTTCTTGGATTTCCAAGATACCAGGTTAGGACCGAGAAAAATAGCAAAACCTGTGGTAGAGCGGGAAGTATCTGGACAGCCTGCCCAATCAGCATCAGAGTAGGCGAAAATACACAAGGAACGAGCTGACTTTTGAAGCCATAATCCATGATCAATGGTACCCTGCAAATAACGAAATATGCGCTTGACAGCAAGCATGTGAGTGGTGCGTGGGGCATGCATAAACTGAGACACTAAATGAACTGCATAAGTAATATCAGGTCTTGTCAAAGTTAAATACTGCAATGCACCTACCATACTACGATATTCCGTAGCATCAGCAAGAAGTTCACCATCAGTGAGGGAGAGAGATGTACGAGTGGCGACTGGGGTACGAACAGACTTGAGAGTATGTAAGTGGAAACGAAGGAGAAGATCAGAAACATATTTTTGTTGAGACAAGAAAACTCCTTTAGAATTTCGAACAGCCTGGACTCCCAAGAAATAATGAAGATCACCGAGATCTTTCATAGCAAAGTGAGAAGCAATACATGTAATAAAAGAGGACACAAGAGATGAAGAATTTCCAGTAATAATAATATCATCCACATATAATAATAAATACATAACTGACTGACCTTGACGATAAATAAATAAAGAATTATCTGACTTACTACACACAAAATTATGAGTAAGTAAGAAACTACTAAAACGGTGAAACCATGCCCGCGGGGCCTGTTTGAGACCATATATGGCCTTTCGCAAACGACACATATGATGAGGAAACTGTGGATGAACAAAACCCCGCGGCTGACGCATATAGACCTCTTCCGTAAGATGACCATGAAGGAATGCATTTTTGACATCTAATTGACGCATAACCCACCCAAAAGAAATAGCAAGAGTAAGAACAATACGAACAGTGGTGGGTTTAACAACAGGACTAAAAGTCTCAGAGAAATCTACGCCAGCCTGCTGATTAAATCGTTGAGCAACTAAACGTGCTTTATGGCGCTCAATAGACCCATCGGAGTTAAACTTAGTTTTATAAATCCATTTAGACCCAACCACATTTTTAGAGCTATCAAATGGAACTAAATCCCAAGTATTATTGGAAATAAGTGCATTAAATTCATCCGCCATAGCCTCACGCCAAATTAAATGTTTTTGTGCTTCAGAAAAACAAGTCGGATCAGCTACACTAACAACTGTGTTTAATGTAAAAATTGATTTGGGTTTAAAAATACCAGACTTGGCTCGGGTTTGCATAGGATGCAAATTAAATCGGGGTATAAGTGGGCTGGTGGTAGGAGGGGAAGCTGAACCGGCCGAAGTGGCCGAGGGTGGGGAGGATGGTGGACAAGACTGGTGACTAGACTGGTCGTGGGCTGAGGTGGCCGAGGGTGGGGAGGGTGGTGGACTGATCTGGTCATTTGCTGGGAGAGCCGAAGGTGTGTGAATAGGGCTGGTCGCAGGTGTTTCTGGAGAGCAGATGACCGTGGGTGGATTTTGACTATGTGTAGAAGAAGAGGAGTATGATAGAGGGAGGGAGGATGTTAAGGGAACCTGGGGAGTGAGGCGAGGTTGGGGTATATGTGGCCTAAGAGTATTAGTGAGGAAGAAATCGGAATTGACAGTAGAAGTAGAATTGGAGGAGGTTGACTCAGGTGGAGAAGATCGTAAGGAGGTGAAAGGAAAAATATTTTCAAAAAATCTAACATGACGACTGACATATACTCTACCTGACTTAGGTTCAAGACAACGATACCCTTTATAGCCAGATGCATAACCAATAAAAACACAATGAACAGAACGGGCTGAGAGTTTATTTGCGGATGAGGCAGAAATATTGGGAAAACAAGAGCACCCAAACACACGCATGAAGGCATAATCCGGAGATTTTTGAAAAAGTCTTTCATATGGAGAAGAGTGACCGAGTAAAGGAGAGGGCAGCCTGTTAATAATATATGCAGCCGTAAAAATGGCATCTACCCAGAATTGACTAGGAATAGAAGCTTCAAGAAGCATAGTCCTAGTTAGTTCTAGTAGATGTCGATGTTTACGTTCAGCAACCCCATTTTGTTGAGGTGTGTCTGGACAGGATTTGCGAAAATAAATTCCCTGAATATCAAAAAATTGCTGCATATTAGAATTTACAAATTCACCCCCTCCATCACTTTGAAAAATTTTAATTCTAGTATTAAAAAGATTTTCAACTAAAGCTTTAAAATTTTTAAAATGAAGAAAGACTTCTGCCTTGGTGCGCATGGGGTATAACCAAGTATAGCGAGAAAAATCATCAATAAAACAGACATAATATTTAAAACCCAAATTTGATAAGACAGGAGATTGCCAAACATCAGAATGAATTAATTGCAAAGGCATAGTAGAATTATGACTAGCATCCATAAAGGGTAAACGTTGAGATTTGCCTAATCGGCAAGAAATACAGTCATGAGAAAAACTAGAGCTACTACATATATGGTGCTGACTTTGTAAAGTACGTAAAATAGAAGTGCCACAGTGGCCTAATCTACGATGCCAAATGGGGCCAGACAAAGCTAGAGAAGACAAGGCAAACGGTGGCTGAGAACGGAGGCTGACTGGATAGAGATGACCATGACTAGGTGCTTCCAGAAGGACCTTCCCCGAAATTTTGTCCTTAACAAAAAAGGAATTTTTATCAAAAATTACGACACAGTTGTTATCAGCACAAAGTTTTTGAATAGATAACAAATTAAATTTAATGTGAGGCACATGAAAAACAGATTTTAGCGTGAGAGGACGATTGGAAGAATTTAAATGAACATCTCCAATATTAGCAATGGGAAGTTTAGAGCCATTAGCAACACTAACTAAAAGTGGTCCAGTGTAAATTGATTTATTAACTAGAATACCTTCCGTAGGAGTCATATGAGCTGAAGCTCCAGAGTCAGGATACCATAAAGCAGTATTTGAGTCACCATTATTAGAAGTCAATAGAGCTGGCGCAGACGGTGGAGCATACCGAGAAGGACACTGAAGCGCAGAGTGACCTGCAGAGAAACAAAGCTGACAGACAACAGGCGGTGGAACAGACCCAAGAATGCCCTCACCCGATGAAAAACCTGCAGAGCTAGCATGAGTATCATAAATAAAGTAGGGATTAATATTTAAAGTTGACAAGACAGAATTACTAGCAGAACCTGAAGTGCCCGGGCGAGTAGATTGCACCCCCTGAATAGAAGCCGGATGTTGTGAGAAAACTTGCGGTCCGAATCCCTGCTGCTGGCCAGAACCAGAGGCTGCCGGGGATCCTCCATGAGATGGCTGAGGTCCGGCCGGCTGCTGTGCACCAAAAGACGTCGCGGCCTGGTGCTGAAAGCTATACGGCTGTTGTGGATAACCTCTGCCGCGACCTCGGCCCTGGCGACCGCGTCCCCTGCCGCGGCCTCCCCTGCCGCGAGCAGCATATCCAGCCGGTGGCTGCCCCCCAGCTGCAGCTACCGCAAATGCTTGATGACCAATGGCTGCCTGCTGTTGACGCTCAGACAGAAGTTGTTGTTCTGCTTCTAGCAAACGCGGTTCCAAAATGTGGAAGGGAAATTGCTCGGGAAATAAAGAGACCGTAGTAACAAGAGACTTATAATCCGGTCCCAAACCAGCGAGAATAGATTGAAGCAGTTCTTTATCCGAGACAGGAGAATTAATTGCCGCTAGAGCATCAACTAAATTCTTGATTTCCCTTAAATAACTTTCCATTGATTGGGTCTCTTTCTTTTTAAGAGATGACAGTAATCGTTTAAGTTCCATGCATCGGGGTAGACTGGCAGACATAAATCTAGTCTGAAGTCTAGCCCAAATAGCAGCGGAATGTTTTAAATCATGAACATCAACTAGCACATCCCGGGTTAGAGTAGCAAACAACCAACATCGAATTGTTTGATCTACTCGGAGCCAATAATAATATTCTGTGTTTGGAACTTGACGATTCTGAAAATCAACATTGTACATAGGGGGTACCTGAATTGAGCCATCAACAATTCCAAAGAGACCTTGAGACACCAGGAAAGATTCAAACTGAGTACGCCAGGTGAGATAATCCTCGACTGCCTTCAATTTGATGGTGACAATTTGAGAAACAGTAGTGATATGGGAGACTGACTGAGCAAGAGCAGACATCGGGGATCCAAAACCCGGTTGATCCACTGGCCGAATTACCCCTGGAGAGCCAGAAAAGGTGGATCCGAAAAAGGAAGGGGCTGCCTCCTGGACCGAACCAGTGAGAGGAATTTGAGGTGGAATCGGTGGTGGAGGGAAGAGGCTTGCCTGCGGCTGGAGTGAAGGTGGCTGCCACGGGAAGCTCTGCGGCATAGGCTGAAACAGAGGAGTGTGATCAGTCACAGAGAAAATTGGTGGTGGGGGAAAATTAGGGAATAACGTCGATGATGTTGGCATCATTCCCGGCGAACCAACGACACGAGAGAAGGCAGCGGCAGAGCGTGGTGTAGAGAACTCTGGCGTAGCGGTCATCTGGATCGGAATTGATGAGGTTGCCGGCGTCATGGAGGAAGGGACTGCTGCGGCAGCCGAGCTCATGGCGGAGGAAGCCATGGCTGCGGCACTAGAATCGGCCGAAGATGAGGAAGAACTCATATCGGCGGAAGCGTGAGTTCTAGAGGAAAAAAAAAATTAGGTCTGGGCTCTTGATACCATGTGAAATAATAGGAAAAGGGTACTCCAATAGGAGTCCTGGCAGGTATATTTATATTAAATAAGAGTTACCAAAAAACACAAGGATTCCTAATTTATATTAACTATTACGTACTGCCAACTACCATTTGCGTCGAATCAATGACTACCAACAGCTTAACTTCGGTTGTTCTGGCCCTGCCATGGCTTCTCGCCGCCATAGCCTTGCTCGCCAAAATACACCAAACACGAAAACGGAAAACTCCCCCAGGTCCACGGCCATGGCCGATCATTGGCAATTTGCACCTCCTCAGCTCCCTCCCACACCAATCCTTACACTCACTCTCCCAAAAGTACGGAGACTTGATGCTCCTCAAGTTCGGCTCCACCCCTGTTCTGGTTGCCTCATCTCCCGAAACAGCCGAGCTTTTCCTGAAAACCCACGACGCCGCCTTCGCCTCTCGGCCCGCCACGGCGGCGGCCGCGCACACCTTTAACGGCTCCGACCTGACCTGGTCTCCTTACGGGCCGTGGTTGCGCCAGGGGCGGAAGATTCTCCTCTCCGAATTGTTCACGCCTCGGAAGCTCGACTCGCTCGAGTACATCCGCGTTGAGGAAAGGGCGGCTCTTATTTCCGGCCTTTATGCGGCGGCGGCGACGCCGGTGTTGCTTAGAGACCATTTGGTGAGCCTGACCTTGTCCATTTCCATGAGGGTAGTTTCAGATAACAAACTGCACGTCGTCAAAGATGGCGGCGGCGACGAAACGTCAAAGACGACGGCGCTGATGAAGAAAGTGAGTGGGCTTCTTGATGAGTGGTTTCTGCTGAGTGGGGTGATCAACGTTGGGGATTGGGTGCCGTGGCTGAGCCGCTTTGACCTGCAGGGGTATGTGAAGAGAATGAGAGCGCTCAGCCATGAGTACGAGCAGTTTCTGGACTCCGTGATTGAAGAGCACAGGGCGGCGGCGGCGACGAAAGGCGGCGTTGACCGGAAGAAGCGGGATTTGGTGGATGCATTTTTAGAGCTAGCTGATGCTCCGAATCGAGACCCAGAAGTCGCCCTCACCCGCCATCGCATCATGGGGCTAATACATGTACGTGCCGTTCCAAGCCATTCATTTTTAGATATTGAATGCATAAATCACTCCACGTCCCTTTCAAGAAACTTTACCTAATTTCTTTTTTTGTCTATTCCTAGAAAGTTTATCATCTCCTTAATAAAGGGTTAATGAAGTAAAAAAGATAGATAAAAATACATACTACCTTCCCCTTCAAAGGTCGTCATATTTCTTCATTTTTGGACGTCCCAATTTTTTGTCATTTTCCTTTTTAAATCTCAGACACACAATTTTTACTTTATTATTTTTTGTACCGGTCAAACTTAGACAAAATTTTAAGGGACGAAGGTAATACAGGTATATGTTACTTCCGTCCCAAATTGATTTACAAAGTTAACTTTTTTCTTTTCAAACAGTTTTATTTTATTCACTTAATTATGATATCAATTTTTATTTATATTATAATTTGAATTTTACAATTCTATACAGATTTTAATGTTTTTTAAATATGTAAATTTTAACTATTACAAATTGAATTAATTATCCATAGGAAGGATTTAACTTTAATCTTAGTTGATAAAAAAATGTTAACTATCCAAATGAATTCGGGACGGAGATGAATATGAGGAAAAAATTCCAAAAATATAATTAGGTATGTTTTTTACCATCTTATGACTATAGAAGGTTTTAAAAGATGACATTCGTATACGCCGTATATGAAGAGAATTTAAAGACCAAAATCACCTTAAAAACAAAACAGCATAGAACTATAGAAGGTCAACATCTTTGAAAGGTGGCTAAACTCGAATAAAAATTATTACCTCCATCCCCCTCAACTTTACCAAGTTGAAGTTGGGTGGGAAACTTAAATACTAAAAACAGTGTGGTTGATGTTTGCGCAAATAAGAGAAAAATGAACATAACCACAAATTCATTGGTTTAAAAGAAAAGTAACAAAGTTTTTTGGAACAAACACAAAGGAAAGTTGGCAAAATCCGTGGGACAGATGGAGTAATAAAAAAGGGCGGCTCATGTGGATAGCTAGACTTGCACAAAGTCGAGCTAGGCCCGAGCTTCTTATAATTATTTGTCCATTGGTGTGGGCAGGCCCGGCCCAGCCCGCAAAATAGCCCAACTACATGTCCATATCTACCCATATGAGAGGGCCAGATAGTTCACCGGACTGCCCATACTTTTCAATTTTTCAAAAATATATAAAAATATTTTAGTGCTTCTAAAATAATATTACAACATGTAAAAATTGTCTATGCGCATATAGAGCACGTTAGGTGACATTGGTTTTCAGTTTATCAGGCTTACCAGTCATCTTTTTCATCAAACACGTAATTTTTATTTCGCTTATAGGTTGTAATGTCTGAAGTTACTATAGACGATCATTTTAGCTATTTTTCATTTTTTTTTATTTAATTAATAAAATATATTTTATTTTTTTCATAAATCAACAAAATCATCAAATCCAACTATTTCAGTCGAGACCTCATAAATTTCAGCAGATCAGCCAATGTAGCCGATTTGAGTATGAACTTATTGTTCGATATTAAAGACATAATATTTAAAAGTAATATGAAATTACATTATTTTCATATTAGAATTTTTTATAAAGTATAAATTTTTTATGGTGCATATAATTAGTATGAAGTATAGTATAGAATTGGAAAATAAAATATGACGAATTATATATACATATATGCATATGTGTGTGAGTAATTTTACATCCGAAAAATCCAAAGGCGAAAGGTGGTTTGGAGGTCATCTTGACGAGGCGCACCTATTTTTCTTTTAATTTTCCAGGCACTTTTGAAAATCGGAGTTACTTTTAACCGTCTTTCTCAGACGTTTTTAACGGCGTGACCCTCTTGTGATAACGGAATTCAAACACATGAACCACTTTCTAATAAATGTCTATATTTTATTCTTTCAACTTGTATTTTATTTTATATTTCTATATTCTTACAATTTTAACGGTTGTGGCGGTAAATTGAACAAGTTTGTTGGGTTCAGGGACCTATTTAACCCCTTAAATTGACACGTAAGATGCACAATTGGTATCTGATCAAGTGATTGTCGGTGATCGGACTTTTACCTACAAAAAGTGAAATTTGAACTTTTTTGTCGAATTCAGAGGGTTAATGAGAGCTTTTTAGAGTTCAGGGGACAAATTGAGCATTTTGTACGAGTACAAGGGCCTATTTGATTTTTTAGCCTTTTAAATATAATTATATAACCAATCTTGAATTTTTGAGACAATTTTTTTTTTGAAAGGAAAAATTTGTTTTAATAGCAATAAACTAGGAAACCACATGTACACATTAAATTGCATTTTCTATCAAATGAATCTCTTATGAGGCAATTTTAATGTGTCCTTACTTGAAAAATGTTGTAAAATTAGGACAAATTTCAGAGTAATACGATTTTGGATTACTACTTCACTTCTAGCATTAAAATTAATTACATGTTAAGAACTTTAGATGATCGAACACTCAAAGTTTAATTGAAGCGTCTACATTTTGTGATTGCACATACTATGCAGGATGTGTTGGGTGGTGGCACTGATACATCAGCAGCAGCGGTGGAATGGGCGTTTCAAGAATTGATTAGGAAACCAGATGTAATAGAAAAGGCAAACGCAGAGATGGATAGAGTGATTGGCAGAGGGAGATGGGTTGAAGAGAAAGACTTCTCCCAATTGCCTTATAATGAAGCCATCATCAAGGAAACATTTAGGTTGCATCCACTTTGCACACTACTTCCACCCCATTGCTCCATGGAAGATTGCAGCCTCGACGGTTACGAGGCAGTCAAAGGAACGATTGCCCTCGTCAATGTCTGGTCTATTGGAAGGAACCCAAAGTATTGGTACAGAGCTGAGGAGTTCCTGCCTGAGAGGTTTTTGGAGAAAGATATTGACACGAAAAGACTAGATTTTTCACTTCTACCTTTTGGGTCAGGGAGGAGAAAGTGCCCTGGGTATAGCCTTGGAATGAAGATTGTGCGGGCAACTTTGGCCAATTTATTGCATGGCTTTAACTGGAAACTAGCAGGAGAGATGAAGCCTGATGATGTGTCTATGGAAGAGGTTTATGGCTTGACCACTCACCCAAAATTCCCACTGTCTTTCATCATTGAACCAAGGCTTCCTGCACATCTGTACTAATTAATCTATATCAAAGCTTTTTTAAAGCTATTGAATAATATACATTGAAGAGATTTAATGTATTGAATGATAGGTTTTAGAGATTTGGTACAATTTATGTTGTTGCTTGGAAAAAGCACACATGAGGGGAATGTATGTAACAATAATATCACCTTTATTTTCTTGATTATGTGAATTATGGGTGAAATAGAGATAATCATTGGTTCTCCCACATTGTATCTGATTTCATTTAAAAGAGAC